GTGGAAGAGGAGCCAGGGGATGAGTGCAGAGGATGACCCTGCAGCACAGAGCTGGTGTGGAAGAGGAGCCAGGGGATGAGTGCAGAGGATGACCCTGCAGCACAGAGCTGGTGTGGAAGAGGAGCCAGGGGATGAGTGCAGAGGATGACCCTGCAGCACAGAGCTGGTGTGGAAGAGGAGCCAGGGGATGAGTGCAGAGGATGACCCTGCAGCACAGAGCTGGTGTGGAAGAGGAGCCAGGGGATGAGTGCAGAGGATGACCCTGCAGCACAGAGCTGGTGTGGAAGAGGAGCCAGGGGATGAGTGCAGAGGATGACCCTGCAGCACAGAGCTGGTGTGGAAGAGGAGCCAGGGGATGAGTGCAGAGGATGACCCTGCAGCACAGAGCTGGTGTGGAAGAGGAGCCGGGGGATGAGTGCAGAGGATGACCCTGCAGCACAGAGCTGGTGTGGAAGAGGAGCCAGGGGATGAGTGCAGAGGATGACCCTGCAGCACAGAGCTGGTGTGGAAGAGGAGCCAGGGGATGAGTGCAGAGGATGACCCTGCAGCACAGAGCTGGCTCTGAATGGCTTTCCCACCCCGTGTGTGTGCCGTGTTCCAGTGCCCCTTGGCTCGGCCAAGAAGGTCTGTGTTCCTCTGCAGTCTGCATTATGCAGTGGGAATAGGCTAATACTTCTATACTACTTGTGTAGTAGGGAAGTAATTGGGTTTATTTGTTCTTTTTTACATAGGTGAAGAATAAATTTGCCATTAGAAGTTAGACAAAACCTCACTGGAGTTTTTAACAATGAAAGGAGGCTAAATCCAAGTAAACTTCCTGGTTTCTGTGAGCTGCAGCTTGCAACTTGGGTTTTTTTCCCTTCTAAGTAACAGTATTTATCAGAAACATTGATGTGATTGAGGAATCCAGAGAAATGCAGGAAATGCAGTATGAACACATAACGTATGCACTAATACTTTATTTGTCTTTGTGTGTGTGGATTTGATGGCCAAAAAGGAAGAGGCCCCAAGGGCTCCTTAGTATGCAATTAATATTTTGGCTAGAAAAGCAGCAGATTGTTTCAGTATGCTTACATGATATGACATCATATTCCAGTAAAAATATAATGAACAGAATTTTTGTTTGTCTCTGTGGCAAAGCAAAATGAGTTTTCTAATTGTCAACAGACCTTCGTGATTTATTTAATTATTGTGGCGCCCGCTCACACCAACTTAGTTAAGGTCTGTCAGCATTTCTGTTATGAACCCCTATTTTTAGGGGTTTATAACTAGCTGTAAATATTTGCTCATTGCTGAAACTTGGCATTCCAGGTCACAGCCGTAAAGCCAATATCCTTTTTCAGGTTGACTGTTTGAAAGTGATACCAACGGCATTGCAGATTTCTGATGCTAGGAAACTTAGAGGGAGTAAAGAGAACCTACATTCCAGACTTCTTATTTGAGTGATTTTCTTAAGAACCTCAAATACCCAGAAAAGCTAGATGAAAATTAATTTGTTTCAATAGGTTATATGTGACTAGTTGTTAAAGTATTATCCTTTATCACATTATTTTTCTCCCAATTGAATGTATCATGTCACATGTCCTTTTGTTGTCTTCTGCTTTTGTAATCTTCTGTCATTTGACTGTGTCTGTGAGCTTGTGTTCTGAGGAGTGTGCCTCAGAAAATCCTAGCCTTTGGAGCTGCCATGTGTAATGCAGGGAGATGCATATTCTTTAAATGTAGGTAGTTTAAAAACTTTCCAAAACCTGCTGAGTGTGTACACGAAGCGCTGCTGTTGGCCTGTTCCAGCTCTGTGGCAGAGCAGAGAGACAGAGGGCTGAGGAGTGTTGACTGACATGTAGGTGTTCTTGTGGTGGAAAATATTGTGCTGATATCTTATTGCATAATAATCAGCAAATTCTGTATCAATGTTCCCAAGATTGTTAATGTTTTAGTCCTTTTTAGTAACCCAAACATAATGTATTGGGAAGGTTTGTTAAATGATCAGGGGCAGCTACAGGATCTTAACTTTTCATGGGCCTGTTCCTCATCTGAGTGTGCATCTTCAGGATGCAGAATCATTCTGTATTGAATCTCAGTTTACTCATTACACTGTACTTTCAGACTGTAATATTATGATTACTTGTCAGTGGAGAGGACAAATGCTATACCTGAAAAGAGGAGGATGTTTTGTTTCTGTTTTACACACTCTCCATGTTGTAGAGAAGCCAATATCCTCAGAAATTTAGTCCATTTTCTGAGGATTTCAGGTGCTCCTTTGCAGTTTCCTGGCAATATTCATGTTATCAGTGCTCAATTTATTCTGCTTAAGGCCAAGCAGAGCAAGAAAAGTTTAATCAAAACCATGTAAAAGCCTAATCATTCTGCCAGTGCCAAAGAGCTGCGTGAGGCTTAAGCCACAGGCTGAATCTCATTTTTCCATATTATCACATAAAGAGCTCCCTAAGCACTCTTGAAAAGAGAAGGTAGGGAGGGAGGAGAGAAAAAGAGAAGGGCTGTTGTGGGATCTGCATTTATAAGGATTAAGGCTCATGTGCCTTCCACATCATTTGCATGTAAACAGAGAGAAAGGTAGGTCTAGTCACTTAACAAGAAACAGAAACTTCTGGTGGATGTTGTATTTTCCCTGAATCTAGGTATCTCACTTTATTTGAAGAGGTTTGTGAAGTAGTGAGGTGGGATGTGCTGTCGAGGTGCCTGCTGCTTTTGGGTGACGGAGCTTATCCTGTACTGCAGCGAGCAGAGGCAGACAACAGATGCAGCTGTTTCCAGACTCTTGTTCCAGATCTTCTGAAAACTACTTCTGGGATGGTGGAAGGATTCCTAGGAACTCTTTGAGGGACCTGAGGGTGCCTGTAGCTACAGGAAAGGATAGCTACAGGAGGCTGTGTCTTCTAGCAAGCTCTAGCAGCTGCCAGTAAGCTCTGTCAGCTCCTCCTGAATGAAGGCTACACTGAGCTCTTCATCCAGCTGCCCTCTGATGAGAGAGGGTCGAGCACTCTTCCAGCAGGTACTGGGGAGAAGCATACACAAGTGCAGGCCCTGGAGCACTGCTCCCAGGGGCAGCCAGAAGGTGCAGCAGTCTGCACAGCAGCTAAAGCAGAAGGGAGCCAGAGCCTCTGCTGAGGACAGCGTGTGTGTGCGCTCAGGGCGGAGGCGATGGCCAGTTCCAGTACCATCCAGAGCAGCTGTCCCTGGCCCAGCAGAGACCTGAGTCAGACCTAGCTCCAGAGCTCTAGCTAGGATGGGCAGACAGTGGTCTTGTCTCCAAGAGGTGTACACTATCAGTGGATCTGTATTACCAGGAAGAGGAGATGCAGGAAGATTTCGGCAAACTGCCGACATCACTGGAGCTGATGAGTAAGAGATCAGTTGGATCTCCTGAGGTCCTGCAGGTACAAGAACCTAAATCCCCAACCATACCAAAGAAGGGGCAGGGAGAGTCAGTGCATATTGGTCTGGGAAATGGGGACTCCTGTGATGGTGGAGGCTGGAAGCTTGTAATTTTTGTCACCGGAAGGAAGCCTTTTGCTCCACTTGGAGATCTGCAGCTGCAGTGCAAGTGCCATGTCATCAGCTGAGGGCCTGGGAGCTCTCAAAGCATCCAGCCTGGCCGAGCTTGAGACCTACAGCAGCCTTCGGAAGGAAGCAGCAAGTGGTAGTAGTGGATATCTTCCTACATCAGGAGATGGAGACCACCATCTGTGAACCTGACCTGCTGTGCAGGGAGGTTGGCTTCTCACTGGGGGCTTAGATTGGGACATTGTGGATAGATGGCCAAGGGTTGTCTGTTCTTCAGTTGCCTACTGCAACTCTGTACAGTGGGCACCAGTGATAATGGAAGGGGACGTATTGAGCATAAGAAGCATGACTTCAGAGATTTGAAAATGCTGCGAGGGCTGGAGCAGCTCTCCTGTGGGGACAGGCTGAGGAGCTGGGGCTGTTCAGCCTGGAGAGGAGAAGGCTCTGGGGAGACCTTACAGCAACCTTCCAGTACCTGAAGGGGGCCGACAAGAAAGCAGGGGAGGGACTATTCACAAGGGTTTGTGGTGACAGGACAAGGGGTAATGGCTTTAAGCTAGAAAAGGGTAGATTTAGCTTAGGGATGTCCAAACCCAAGCATGGCATTCCATCTCTTCATTCCCTGCGAGCAACAGACAGGTTTCTGGGGTAGGGAGTCTGGGCTGGGTTGGCTGTTTTTGTTACTGACCACAGAGGTGTGGGGTTGACAGTGTGAGTAAAGGTACTGCTTGCTTTGAGGAATTATAGCTGTGCCAGTTCCTGGGAAAACGTTCCATTTTTTGCTTTATCTTTCTTTTGGTGCTTTTCAGATAGCAATCCTTGCCATTATGTATGGAAAGTTTTCTTTATGAAGGAAAAATGGAAGACAGTGAGGTGGTGATTCCTGCCTTTCTTTCAGTGGCTGGAAAACCTTTGGCTACTCCAGTATGGGAGGAGAGCTTCTCCCTACCCTCTGTTACACTTTTGGAAGAGAACTCTTTATTTCCATAAGTTTCAATATTTGAACTTTTAAAAGAGTCTAAAGTACACTGTCCAGTTCCTTCCCTCCCTGCCATCTGAGTTTCTGTTGTTCCCAAGAGCTAAGCTGTGGCAGCAAGTCTCAGACGAGAGACCTCACAATCCTCCTTCCTGGGTGCCGCTTCGCTGTCGGGCAGATGTACCTCAGGCACAGCTTCCACTAGAGCTTTTGGTCCTCTGTGGGTCTGGTTTTTCTCAAGGCTCAGGCCCAGAAGAGTGGAGCTGGCAGCTGGGCTGAAGTGCAGGAGAGGTTGTGGCAGAGCCCTGTAAGCGAGGGTAGAGAGCTGTTCTGCTGCAGGAGCTGCTGTCGGTCACTCCTGGCTGGCCGAGGAGCAGCCCACCTGCTGGAGTGTTAGGGCTTACTGGGGAAAAGGTGTTTTACCTCTAACTGCTGCCCTAGGTTACATAAAACTGATGGTAACTTCTATTGTTGTTTTCTTGTCACGACTTCTTTCCAGGTATCACTGCCCAGTGCCTAAAATTTTCTACGTCCAGTTAACTGTTGGCAACAGTGAGTTTTTTGGTGAAGGAAAGACTCGTCAAGCTGCTAGACATAATGCTGCAATGAAGGCCCTCCAAGCTCTCCAGAATGAGCCAATCCCAGAGAAGGTGCCTCAGGTTTGTCTTTCAGAAAACTCTTCCTGACTTTCACATTAAGATACTAATTTAACTCCCAGTTTTTCAATGTTGAATTTTTTTAATATTTTTTTTCACATTAGCTGCAGTAATTAGAGATGTAATTCTGCGAAATATTTAGTGTTTTTTTTTATAACAGCACATCTAGCATGGAACTAGACTTAAGCAATAAAAATAAGTAGGCATTTTAAACATGGGATTGCCAACAGTTATGAAGTAAAAAATAATATAAAGATAAAATACAATATTTGAGATTATACCCAGGATAGAGAAAATGTCCATTAATCAGTGGCTTTATGGAGAACAAATTATTCATTTTAAATGTCTGTTATGCCATGAATGTGATCTTTACACTTGAAGTTAGTTGTCCCAGTGTACCTGAGAACCTGAGGGAGCTCACTGACAGCTGCTGGTCAGCTGTCGGATGGTTTTAGGCTTGTAGCCACTCCTCCTCACTGCTTTGGCTGTAAGTGGTGTGTTTTGCTACTTAAACATTAAAATGGTGTGTCATATTCTAAAAAATATTTAACAGAAAAATTATTCTCAGAATAATATGATAATATTGCCCAGTTAAATAAGCCAAAATAAATGCATTAGGAGACAATCTTTTTATTTTGTACTCATTTATTTTGTATTTTTGTTCTGGTGAGATCTGTTGAACTCTGGGCGCAGTACAAAACGTTGCTAACAGTACCTGCAGTGTCAAGTTTTGATCTGCTTTTTAAGAACAGAAATGATTTTCTTTATTAAAATCTTCATTCTTTCTGCCTCACCCTGCGTCTGTGTCCTCCTTTTGATTCAAAGAGAGTTTAACTCACCCTTTTGTGTTTCTCTTCAAAATCGCTTACTATAATCAGGATTTATTTATTTAAAAAAAAAAAAAAACAAAACAATAAAAAACCAGGAAAACTATTTAAAAAGAATATGTAAAGTCTGAGGAGAAATCCCCATTTCCTTTCGCATTGTTAGTTCCCTTCCTTTCTCTTTTGGTTTCCAGTCAAATATATTGGTTGATAATGAATCCTTAGCACAAACCTGAGTGAGAATTTCATATTATTGAAATGTATTTTTGGCTCAACACGTTCTTAATTTTTGAAAATTCTATGTTTGATGTTCTATTTTGTCAAAAGAATTCTTGAATCCAAGACAGGCATTAATGAGAATGAAAATTAAACCACTAAGCACATAGTAGAGTAAGTAATAGAAGTAAATATTGTATATAACATCGATGTGTGTCTGGTTTATATACTGAGTTTTCATAGCTCGTGTACCTAGAAAAAGTACTGAAATCTTTAATTAACACTCTTGCCCAATTGGGTCTATTTAGTGTTGTTTTACATTAATGTCTGTTAGGATGTGCAGGCTTTCAGAAGCTGTAGTCATGGCAAATTGAGTTTCCTGGGTTCTTGTAGCATGCTGTAGTGTTGCCTCTCTCGTGAGCTAATGAAGGAACTTCATTCTTTTCCACCATAAATGATATATGTAAATGGAATCAAATCCACAGTTAGCTATGGGAAAAATGGGCAAGACTTGTTGGGAGACAATGCCACAGGTTAGTGGAGATGTTCACATGGTACTTGCAGGACCTGTGGGAGCACTGTGAGTTTCTGGTGTGGCAGCTGAAGACCACTTGGCATACTGTAGGATCTCAGTAGCAGTTGTCTGTGGGTAAATTGAGCCCACAGACCAGATCGATGCTACAGACACAAATTGTTTTTTTCAGACTCAAAATTTTGCAAACTTTTAATAAAACAAAAAGCACTCCAAGTCTGCATGCTATAGCTGACTGATGGATTTTTGGTCCTGCATTATCTTAAGGATTAGTATATTAAGAGTTAACAAATGGTAGCTAAAGGGTTGATAAATTTCATTGCTAATGTGAAGAACCTAATGCTTTTTTAATGTTATTTTATAGCTTTGGTATCTGCATTTTGTAGCTATGCTAATGGCTGAAGATTTAGGTCAGACTCTGTTATGTAAGATGGGAACTCTGCAGGAATCCACCTAATTCAGCCCAGGTTTCTTTGATGTTTACCTCCACTAATAAAAAATTAGGAGCCTGGCCAAGGTTACACTGTCGTTGAGAAAGCTCAGTTTGAAAGATTCAGAGCTTTGCAGTTTGAAAGTAGCTGGAATTGAAACCTCTGAGAGCTGGGGAAGATGTGGCCTGGGGAGCAAAGACCGAAAGGTTTTGGTTGCAGGAGGTGTTAACTCTTTGACTGATCCCCATGCTGCTGGCTGTCTGAGAAGCATGAGACTTACCTAAAGAGTTTGCTTATGCCTTTTGTTGTTTGATCTCTCAGCCTCTGTGCTACGTCCCCATGGATAAATAAATAGTGTTCTGTGTTGAGCAAGCTGTTCTCTGTCACTACCTTTTCACTCTAGTCAGAACTCCCAGAGGGAAGCTGATGGAGGGGCTGTTAACCAGCGGGACCTGCTGAGGACACCTGTAACCTGGTGACCCAGGCAAAGTGTGAGGGTGATTCACTGAATTTCTTCTGACAGAAGTACAGTCTTCTGTACTTCAGGCATTACTTCTTGGAAAGTTCTCCCTTGCTTGGAAGGGGTGCCCACAGAGAGCCTGAGAAACAGGTCACGGGATTGGTTTGATCCTCATGTTTGACACAAGAAGGATGTATTCAGATGATTATTATTATTATCAATGTCATTAATAAGGCTAAAATCTGTAGAAATTTTTTTGCCATCTGTCATTAATTCATAGATTAATGTGTATGTGTTCTTTTACTGTGAAGCATAAGTGCATTCTGGCTGGCCTCCTGGTCAGTGGATAGTCAGTCTGATAACGGGGTGCTGAGATGTGTGTTCAAATGCTGACTTACAGCATGACAGCAGAACTTGAAATCTTGTCTCAGAGAAATCAGGCGAGAAGTGTCTTATGGTTTTATCTTCTAAAAATTGTGATTATGAATTTAATTTGTAAATTATAATTGTACTTATGAATTGTAATGATGTATTCATTTTCAGAATGGAGAAACGGGGAAAGAATCAGAAGAAGATAAAGATGCAAACAAGTCTGAAATCAGTGTAGTGTTTGAAATTGCTTTGAAGAGAAATATACCTGTCAGTTTTGAGGTATGTGTTACCTATTTATCTGTTTGCTGAGAACGTATTAAAAGAAAGTGCCACTAAAACCTAACACACCTAATAATATTAATATGTTATATGACTTTGAAATTCATGCAAATTATAAATAAAAAATTGGTAATGTATCAGAGCCTAAGATACTGAGTTTTTACTGTTACATTAGATGGTCTTTCAGAAGTATTACAGACCTGGTATTTGGTTGCAAAGAAGTGGCTGGCAGAAAGACAGTTGAAGCATCTTCTGCACAGTGCTGTGGGATTAGAATCGGGAGCCACACTCGATATGATTTGAAATAATCTTCAGCACCCTCAGTCAAAGTCTTTGCTTTAACTTTAGGCATTCATACACTACAAAAGTTCCTATTCAGACGTTTTAAACGTTATTAGTCTTTTTTTAGCTTTAATACTGTTTGACTCCTTATCTGTATCTACTTAAGCTTTCATATTGTGTTTTTGGTTTTTTTTTTCTCATTTAATATAATTTTATCTATGAAACTGCTTTTTACACCTTTGTTTACCCTCAATAATAGAGAGTATTTGGAATAGCTCGAATGCTGTCAATGATCTAATTATGGGAAATGAATGACAGTAACAAGAAGACTCTGCCGTTGAGAAAGCCACTCTTTAAAGTAGCTCTTCAAAGTTTTACTTTTCATCTTCTTGGTTTATGTTTAACTGAGTACATATGAAGGACATGGGTAGTGCCTAGACCAGGAATCGTTTCCTCCAGTGCTTTTTCCTTTCGAAGTACAGGCCCATATTTGGATGCCAAGCCCCATCAGTTACACTGTGGCACGCCTTGCAGTGTGCTGGGTGCAGTTTGCTGACTTCTTGTGGTCCAGATCCATAAACTGGCCAATGTCAAATGAGCGATTTGGACCATCTTAGAAACCTAAGAAACTTCTCAGAAGGTAGGTGAGAGAGCCAAAGACAAAGAATATTGTTTTTCAGTAAGGAGTTCCTCGATACAACAAACACATCCGTGCTTCATATGCGTGGTGTGTGTAATATGGACTAATTGGGAAGTTAATGTCAATTCTCAGACATAAAACTCGGGTGTCTGGGGGTGTTGGTGAGTCAATTTGCAACTACATGGAAAGAATATAACTCTTACATAAGATCAGACCTAGTGGAAACACATGCTTGTGTTTCAAAAAGGAAGCTCATAATTAATGTTTCAGTTTTCACACATCGTTTTCTACCCTAACTATTTAAAAATATTTGGAGTAGTTCCATACAAATCAGTATGCTGAAATACAGGGAGGTTTATGGCCATGGGTCACAGAATAGCTTGGGAGGCTGGAAGGAAAAGAAGGGTAGTGCTTTGAATGACTTCTTAACTTCATTCTTGTGTTTCAGCTAATTTAAGGGAGAACATTTGATAAGGTGAGAATGAAGGCAGAGATACTTAGTACAGGAAAAGTCTAATGTGTCACTTGCCAAGGAAAGTTAACAACCTTGAAAAGCCTGTTTCTTACTCTCCTGACAGATTTAGTGTTATTTCCTGACTTTAAATTTCATTTTATTTTTGGTTCTTTCTTTAGGCTAGCAAATACAAGAATCCATTTTTTCATTCTCAGTGTCAGGAGTAAGGGGATAGTGCCTGAAGAGGCAGATGTCCTTCATCCTCCTCCGGTGTCCTGCTGGGAAAAAGAATTGCAAATTATTGTGTCCCAGTCTTACCCCGGTGAGGCAGAGTGTTTTGAACCAGGAACAGACCAAACTTCTGACTCTGGGAGACTGAACAGGTTCTTAGCAGAAGTTTCACACCCTTCTGGCTCCCACTCTCTTGGTGATTAAGGCTTTCAGATTGGTTGATTGACATACCGAGTAGCTCTCATTTGGGTTTTGTGTGATGGTCAACCTTCCTCTCTCCAGCTGTAGTAAAGCATCCAGACTTTTTTTTTTTAAGCTGGGAAAATCTGTTATGTCTGCCCACACAAGCATATGAAAATAAAGTAGTATTTTAGATCCTCTAAATAACGATGGATGTAGGCAACATGTTTTTGTTCACCTGCTTTTTGTCCGTTCTTTTTTTTTAATACCCCCATAATCTGTTCTATTCTTGAATTTTCCACCTGCAGTCTCATTGGTAACTGAAGCAGCATTGCTCTTTCATTCTGGTTGTAGTGCTGTTTTTCACTTGTCAGCATGATCCATTCAGTTGAGCCAAATTCACTCTTGATGTAACTTGAACCTCGGGATTTTTTGGCTCCATCTGTTTTCTCTTGCTGAAGTTATTCTTTAAATCAGTGCAACAGAAGAAGAAAAATACATTGAACTGTCACCTTTAATCAAATTCTCAGCTTTAAATTAGCCATGATTTGGTACACAGATCATGTTGTTCAGCTGAGGAAATGGTTTAATGTGCTAATGCATATGCATATAGTGTTCTTGATAGCAAAGGCTGAACTTCTTTTTACTGTTTTCAGTGCCAAGGCTTATAGCACAACTGTTTGAAGTCATGTGGATTAAAAAGATCTAAAAACTGGGGTTAACCAAAAGTGTTGTTAGGTAAATATTTTTCTTGCTAACTTACCAAATCTGGATATTTAGCTTGATCTGAATCCCATCTGAATCCTATGAGGTTCATTCCATTGACAATACAGACTTTTTTTTTTCACTTACACACTAACAGAAACAGTTTTGAACATTTTCCAGGCAGCTATTTACCTTGTGTCAAATTCCTAAAGTTTGAAAGATGAAAAACCTCTTTTAAAAACAGAATACATTAGTTTTATTTTAAGAAAGTTTTATCTTGAGAATGCACCACTGCCTTCTCATGGGGTGAAGCAGTAGTGGGCAACTTTCAAGTGAGGCAGTCTTGAAAACACTTCTGAAATCATCTGAGTCTCAGAATGGAAACACTCCTGGGCTGGCACAGGTATCTTATTCTGGGAAAATGCAGATAAAGTTTTCTGTTAGTTTTCACTTTGTATGTTTTTTTATTGATGTATGCTGTCATGATTGTATTCACTGAGTGAAGTTGCCACAAAGAGAGCTTAAAAAAGAAATACAAGCCTAAGGAGACCTCATTACTGTGTAACAGGAAAACTAAATAATGCAAGGGACATGACCTTGATAAAAAGAACTTTAATACAAAACATGTTGTAATAATGTTAAGGCTGAAGGCTTCATCCCATTACAATCTATTTACTACACTAGAAGGCCCAAGCACCTTTCCCTCTGTTCCCCTGCACTCAGGCATTCATTACACTTCTTCAAGAAATAGTTTGATGTAGCTGAACCTACTGAAAAGAGATTTATTTGTATTGATTTTGAAGATAATACAAAGGCATACTTGTCAGATGCTCTAACGTCTCCTTACACACATTACCTGATTAAATTAGTAGCTGCTTCTGCCCATCAAACAAAATGAACCTTTTCCCAAGTGAGGTCTCCAGCTCCTGACGGACGCTGTCCAGACCAGTGCATGGTGCATACGTGAAGAGCTGGCTGGCTGAGCACTTGCAGCTCTGGGGGCTGCTGGGGAGTGCACCCTAGCAGCATAGCCTGCCTAGGAGAAGGAGACACTGACGCCTGGAAAAACAAGGACAGAAATAGAGCCAAAGGAAGTTACAGTGTTGAAGAGCTGGGGTTAAACCCCCAGCCCTGAATCGGGGTTAACATGTGGATGATGGCCACAACCAGGCAGGAAAGCCCCTCCTGATTGGTTTGCACCCAGGATCTGGCCAGCCTTGGGTGGGAATTGTTTAGGGGATCACCACTGGGTCCCCCACCTTCCACATTAACATCTTGTCCTGCCTCAGCATGCAGTGGAATTGGGGAGAGGTTTGCACCTGCAGTAGGTGTACCATGTAGAGCTTCCAGTTATTGGAAGGGCTCCCCGACCGCTCGTAGCAGCTCGAGTTCCCAGCAGTGCTGGGACAATGTGGAGACTGGAGGAGAATTATGGTGCTTTCTCCTGGCAGTTACTGTATGACCAAGATTGGGCTGGTAGCCTGGTTTACTCTTCCCCCATGGCCTTGTTTTGGAATCAGCTCAGTCCCTTCTTTGCCACATCCTGTGTCGTGAGTGAATTCATTGATGTGCTCGTTCCTCCAGTGGTGGGCCACCTGGGATCTCTTGCGTGGGATCTGAGACCAGAGGGAGGGGTCTGGTTCTCATGTTGCTCATTAGGGATAATATCCTTTCTAGCTGGGCAAGTGGTCAGCAAAAGAAGTGTTCAGAACTTTTTTTTTTTCCATATTATTGTAAGTTTTAATAGTGGATAAATACATGAATAAATGAAACTTCTCAGAACTGATTGGCTTTTGTGTGAGTTATGGTGGCTCTTTTGATAATTCATTTGGTACTGTGGGGAGGGAGCTGATTATCATGGGGGCAAGACTGTGGCAGCTTTTCAAATGTATGGAATGTGGCAACTAGGACAGCGTAAAATATGTCTCTTTAAGACTGCAGAGACCATGTGTGGATGTCCTAGGTTTTAATGTAGAAAAAAGTTACAAATGAAGTGATGCTGTATAAATACAGTTTTTAATGTGTTTTATCTAAAGAAATAGCCAAAGCCCAGTGGATCTGGCTGAATTGAATTTCTTTAATATGTGAAGCATCTTGCAAGGAAAAAAACAGCTGCCTCAGTTTCAATAGGCATGGTTGGTGTGTATTGTGATATTGTATAAATATTTTTGAAAATACAGGTCTATTCTATTTTGTGTGAAACACTGTATACGATGGTTAGATTTGCTTTATCTAATCAGGCTTAATTTTCTGTCCTCAAACCTGGTACTGTCGCTAATACTTGTCCAGATTTTATGAAAAACCATCTAATTCCTTCAGTTAGCAGGAAACCTGCATTAGTAGTAAGTACATTTCAGATATAAACATCAACATGTATTCTTAGGGCAGCTTGACTCATTGTTACTTTTGCTTAAAAGGTGATTAAAGAAAGTGGACCTCCTCACATGAAGAGCTTTGTTACACGAGTTACGGTAGGAGAATTCACTGCGGAGGGAGAAGGCAACAGTAAGAAACTCTCAAAGAAACGAGCTGCAATGGCTGTCCTACAAGAGCTTAAGAAACTTCCTCCTCTTCCTGTAATTGAAAAGCCAAAACCGTACTTTAAAAAACGTCCAAAAACAATATTAAAGGTATGTGTCCACCTTTGACAGAAATAAGAATGTTTGCTTAGAAAATAAGTTTCTTGGATTTAAAACCAGTAAAGGTTTATGTCATACTCTGGCAGTATAACGTGGTTGCCTGTGCTAATATGCTTGTGGGTTTTTTAATTCTGAAAACACTGTGAAATTCTCAAACTTAATAGCTTAGAAGGTACTTAGCCTAAAAGCCAGCTCAGATCACTGAAGCCTTCAGGGGTTTGATTCAAATCTAGTGGAGGATCCAACCCTCCAAGCACGCTATATGGATGTGAGTTTTTAGCATCATCTCCTCTAGGAGACGTGTGGTGGTTCTCTCCACAGTCTGAAGAGGCTGAGAGATAATAATAGATAGATATACATGGAAATGGTGCACAGCCCACCTTCCTTCCCTTGTGGAGCTATATTTGAGAGGTTTTTGGCTTCAGCTTCACTTTATTCTTGAAATATTTGAAGGAAGGCCCAGAGTATGTTGACATCTCAGTCTAGTGTGTCACTTGTCAAGCATCAAAGGACAATCCTTTTTTTGTTTCATGTGCCTGTGTTAAGGTTAACACGTGTTTGATAGTGTTCTGTAGCTCTCAGATACAGAGAGTTGTCTGGAGACCAGCCCATGGAGGACTTGCAGATTTTGAACCATCCCTTCCTTAAAGCATGCCCTGTCTCAGAGGACATTAATGTGCTTCATGCTACACTGCCTCCTTTACAGGCTCTCGACCCTAGTGAGCTCAGTCTTAAATGGTGCTTCCATTCTTGGTGGCAGCAGATTTATTGTTACTTCTACAATTCAGTCAGTCTGTGGTGACTAGCCCTGGTTTGTCTACTCAGCCTAAGTTCATACAAGTCCAGAGGGCCATCTGAAGTAATTAGTCTTCCAGATGATCTAACAAAACCAGTCACATACTCTCCATATATTTACAAAGCATTGCTTACCTAGTTGCAGGACTGAAAAACTAACCAGATTAACTTGTCATCTGTTCAGTGTAGAAGATGAGGCTTTGGAAGTGGCCAGAATCTGCTACATTTCTTTCATTTTAGGAAGCATTATTTTGTGAGGAAGTAGTTACTCTTCGTACCTGATTTTCTGTTGATGCTATGACACGTTAATTGCCTTGCATACTCATTTCAGTTCTGTGTAAATAATGGTGGAGGGTTGCTCACTTTCTCTCTGGTGTTAGAGTAACTTTTGCCTAATATTGTAAGGATCAGGAATCTTGAGGCTGGAATTGAAGGAGAAAAACAGGCAACCTTCATGTCCAAAACATGTGCCTCAGAATATAGTTTTAGTACCAAAATTTCGTCAGTTTTTCTATATTTGCCCCTTGTTAGTTAAAAAACAGCAAAGCCACCCTCTTCAATTTTCCTGCATTATGTTATGTCCATGACTTGCACTATGTTAGGATGGATAGCATTATAGCAGTATGGCTTGAACTTAGTTCTCATTGGGTGTTACATTGATTGTAAAAATAACTAAGTCAGTATATATTTTAGTAGAAATATGACCATTAGAAATCTGTGTATCCCCAGTATGCAGAGTACAGAGTTCTGCAGAAGCAGCCAACAGAAAAGCCATTTAAAGTAAACACTTTGTAAATGGAGTTTTGAGAAGTGTACAAAGTACTTAATCACTTTCCTCTTTTTATTTATTTATTTGGACAGAATGAGTGATTAAAAAAAAAAAGGTTAATTAGATACTCATCTCCTGTGGAAATTCTGAGAATCTAATTCTCAAAAACTTCTAGAAAAACTGACCATAAAAAGTTATCTAAGGGAAAACCATCAACCTTAATCTGAAAAGGCTGTTGATTCTGATTGTCTTGTTTTGGAAAGTTGCTGTGTAAGTCCTACCTCCTCTTAGCATACTGCATGTTCCAACATTGCAGCAACCTGTTTTAAGGGCTTAGGGGGAGGGATCATAGAAATATGGCAATAACACAGAATTTACTAATTGTCATTCATCCCCGTAGGACCTCCCCAGGTAGATGAGGATGCCAGTAGCTTACAGAAGCTGAGTATGCACACTGCCTGCAACAGGGACAGACAATAGGTGTATATTTTTTTCCACAGTTCAGAGCTTGAACTGCTTCTTCTGTCCCATGCTCAGAAGATAGGAAGAAAATTTACTTCTTATTCTTTCAAAGGGAGTATTAAATAAGAGGTAACCATAGTAAATGATTTATTGAAGCAACATAATAGTAGTATGGTTATATGCTGAAATAATGGTTCTTTCTTTTAAACCTGTTTTAGACTGGACCAGAATATGGTCAAGGAATGAATCCTATCAGTCGTCTGGCTCAGATCCAACAGGCCAAAAAGGAGAAGGAGCCAGAGTACGTTCTTCTTTCGGAGCGAGGAATGCCTCGCCGCCGGGAGTTCGTCATGCAGGTATCAGTGCTGCCGAGGCAGAGCTAACGCCTTGCTGTGTTACACTCAAACTCAGGCAAATCAGTGACATAACAGAGCAGATCTCTGTGTTTAGCTCTTTCCTCTATGGCCAGTTATACAAGAGTGTGAAGTGCAGTATCAGACAGCCTGCTGGAACTTCCTTCTTGCTCTTGGTGAAGTGAATGGCAGTTAAGTTCTGTGCCTTCTGGATGCCTTTCCTGTAGTGGGTTTACTTTTTTTTTTTTTTTTCTATACTCTTTTTATTTCACCTGATGGTTTCTGTCTGTGTACCTGGTGATTCATGATTTATGTACTCTCAGTTGCCTTTTTGGAAAAAAATATTGCTGTTGTTGATCGGAGAATTGCAATATGAACAAATATTCTGAAATATGGATATAAGAATCTCCATATTACCTAGGTTTTTTGTTTAAAAATTAGTGCTGTAAATCTTTGCAGATATTCAGTTTCTTTGTGGCTTGGTTCATATCTGAAATACCATGAAAAAAGCCTTCCATTGTGTCTTTTACCCTGTCCAGTTAAAGGCTCTGGACCTAACACAGAAACAGAAGATCTTTAATGTTTCTTTATTTTTTAAATGAAGAACATTTTGAAAGATTTGACATAGCTGTGGTATTTTGTTAAATAGCACAACAGCAGGTTGAGAAAACTTAGGAACAGGAAAGAATTCTTTTCTCTTGTGTTTTCACTGGGGGATGGTTTTGTGCTGGAGCAGTTCAGGACAGCATGCCTCAGCATGGTTTGTCATCTGCAAACCACACCAAAATGCCACTTCTGCTCACAAGCAGAACGTGTGACATTCCAGCACCACCTCCTCCAGAAAATTTGTTGTGTTTTCAATTAACTCTTTAAGTCCACCCATTGTGTCTATCAAGATAAGCTAGGAATCTTGGACTTCAGTGGTCTGTCTTGATTATTTATTACTGTTCTCTCTCAAGCAAAAGAAGCTGTTGGGTTCCTTTTGCTGGAGAATCTGATTTATGAATATAAACCTGGATTTCCAACTTCTTGTGCTACCTGAAAGTATTTGAAAAAGAGTGGTCCTGTCACAGACAACCCCTTTTCTGATGCTCACAGGTGGTTGTGTGAGGTGTCAGAAGAGGACTGTGTAACACAGTCCAGTATCAGAAAGATGGGCTGAGAAGTTGAGCTTCCATTGGAGAAGACTCATTAATGCCAAAATTTTTGGTATGAATAAAAAAAAGAATCTTAAAAGCAGTCAAATATGTAAAAGGTTCCCTTATCTAAGAAGACGTGTGAAAGAAAGAGTCAAATTCCACAGAACTCTTGAATGAATGTAAGTTGTTATAAATACTTCCAAACGCTAACTCCATTTTTTCCCCTGCAGTAATATTTTCACACTAAAATCATATTACTCTTTCCCCTGCCTTCAGGAAGTCTTAGTGGATTCATTAGGACATGCAAAAAACCTTATCAGAATAAAAAGCCTTTGTATAAACTACTTACACAATGTTTTCATTTAATTTAATTAAATGTGGAAGTAAAATATCCAGCGATAATATGCCCATTTTTATCTGTCACCTAAAGAGCAAGGTTAGATGTGATGAAATGGATCCAATTACTGTGCTGACTACTAGATAAACAGAAGAAAACCTCTGGTGACATTAGCTGGTGTTCTGTTCCCAAAGTTAATGTCGGAAAGCTCTTTCTCTTTGTAGTCAGACCTTTAATCCTTGATAGAGGTTATAATAATAGCTAAACCACTTCTACAGGTCTGAGAAATAGCAGCACATTGGTTTATTGTGAGCTATGTTATAAATTATCATTTGGTCTTGTCCCATTAAAGTCCCTCAATTTTCTTGCATAAAAATTTGTAGCAGAGTGACTATTTCTAATTGTGATTAAAGAACTTCATAGAAGATAAGGTTTATTTTTTAAATTACTAATATTTCTGATTTAGGTAGCCAAACCAGTCCAGCTCTAGAACCCTCAACACAAGGAGGACACGGAGTTACAGAAAACTGTAGCTGGTTGGTGTGAGTTTGGAGGCCTTCTGAAAATTCTGAACAGGTTATTCTATGTGGAGCAGTACTGTAGTCCCTTTTTGCACTGTTCTTACCTTTTCAAGATTGTACCCTCATGGAAAGAGGTGACAGTTGTTGGTGGGTCAGGAAGGCTAGTACCTGGTGATATTAAGTCTTGCATTTATTGTCATTATGACCAGTGTTTTCTTTTTAAGGTAAAAGTAGACAATGAGATTACTACTGGAACAGGCCCAAACAAGAAAATAGCTAAAAGAAATGCAGCAGAAGCAATGTTGCTACAGCTAGGTTACAAAGCCTCTACTCCTCTTCAAGACCAGCCAGAAAAGGTGAGAACCAAGTGTTACGATGCCCACGTTTTATCCTTTCCTCGAGTTTTAGCTCTATCATCTAATCCCTTAGTAAGAATGGAAGCTTAAACTTGTGCACTCCATATTTTAGGGTGTTTCTTGTCAGAGATCAGCCTTAATTTAGCTACAGCTCTAGTAGCTTAGTGCAGCCTCTTCTGCTGTAAGAACAGAAAGGTATTTCCACGTGATCGTGTGCGTGCGCGTCTGTTCCTGCGGACAGGTCAGGATGAATGTGCCTCTTCCTCTTATTCCACTTTGGGCATTCATGAGAGCACTGAGAGCAGTGATGTTAGTCATTGCATGTGCACTAAAAGCATTCCAGAAAAATAACAGACTTTTCAGGTTTGATGGTCAAGAAAGAAAATGTGTGTCATTTTTCCTTGTGGAGAAGGAATTACATTTTAAATTCATATATGCTGCAGATACATGTTTCTGTATTAGTGATGTGGAACTTAGCACTCCTCTCCTGTCTTCTCTTCATTTGTGGGAGGTTTTGTAACCAAAACTGAGTGTTAGGGTTTTGCCTTTTGCATCCTGAAAAGATACTTGGTAAGGTATTTGGCTAAGCTGTGGACTCTGAACAGCTTCTGTCATATGCAGAGTCACTGTATGTATATATTTGATGATGGCTTAAACGTTTGCTGTGGCTACAGCGGCTAGCTCAAATCAACAGAATGTTCTAGGCTCTTCCACAGACCACATAATAAATCTGACTATGGTATGTGTCTGTATATATCTTCTGAAACACCCTTTCTTTTTCTTAAAAAATATAAATTAATTAATTAAAAAAATAAAAAGATACTCTGCTCCTGATACATCCTGTACTCTTAGCCAGGCAAAGATAAATGCTGTACTGGTTATTTGGCTCAGTTTCCTTCTTCTTCCCTCTCCTTTGAGAGGAGCAGATCTGTGTGTGCTATTCACCCTCACCTTCGCTACATTCTTCTGTACATACCTTAGTCCTACACGAGTGTGCAGTACTCTGAGCAGAGCACTTGGGAGCTGGATGGTGTTCCTAGTGAGAACACACTGTGCAGTCGTTGCCATTTTAAAAAAGGCTCGTGACAGGGTTAAACAGTATCTTCACCAGAATGCTGAGACTTTTTTGCTATAGAAGATAGCTTTCTACCAGTTTCAGCTTTTTCTTCACAGCCAATTTGGCTAAAGAGCTTTTTGGAATGCAAAGCAAACCAGAAAGGTCAACTTTAATTTCCAATAGGAAAACATAGGTTTTCATTCTTGGATTTCAAGTTGGCTGAACTATTTTACTCAGTAATTTTCTGAGATAAAGCCTGAAAAAATTCAGCTACAACGTAATTACTTTGGAAGAGATCTACACAGTGGAAACGTGTGGTTACATTGAATTTGAACAGCTGCAAAATTCCTTCCCTCTAAATTGCACAGTAAAGATGCTCCATAAGAAGATACTTGTCTCTTTGAATCCAGCATGGGGCCCAGTGTAAGTTAGCTGATGTATCAGGTTGGCATCTAAATGGACAATTTTCACTTGGGTTTTTTTTGAGGCTTTTTAAAAAAGGTAACTAAATGGGACTGTATTCATTGTTTTAATGATGACCTGAGAGTGTTACGAGAGCCATGCGTGGTGCTAACGTCAGCACAGGTAAATGGGTAATCCAAGTAATGTAAAAAAGTAAAGGCTCTGCTCTTTTCTGAAGTAATTTGGTTCCTGGAAAAAATTAGAGTTGTGCAGAGCCCTGAGGAGAGCAGTTTGAAAGTACCCTTCTTGCAGCTATCAGAATTCTAACTCTATGGATAAGAATGAGGAGCATTTTTCATCTTCTCCCTTCTTCTTGCCACTTCTATTCTCTTAGAAGAAGATCAGAATAAATTGCATTCATGGGAGCCAGCAGCACTAAGCTGCTTTGCATGGTGTGTTTTTCCCTCCCTTCCCCACAGAAAACACATCATCCAGTAGCCTGCATCAGGATAATCTGAACAGCCTTACTGCAGGCTCTGGGGTGCAGGGGCAGATCTCAGCCAGCTGAGCCCTCTTTGCCTGTCCTCTGCTCTCCAGTCCCTGCCCTCCAGAGCAAACAGTCCCCACCTCGGGGTGCCACACAGCTTGCTTGGCTGCAGGGCTTTCTGTCTGCATGCAGCACCTCGGGGAGATGGGCAGAGGGTCGTTGGTCTCACACCGACAGAGCTGCTCCTCAGTGGCTCCTAGTTATGAGGAAGCTTGGACTTGTTTATCTACAGCTACACATAAATCTAGAACATCTTAATTACTTAATTCAGGAATGGCCTCATTATGGTCTCTGTTAATTGCTCCCCTTTTCTGTGTCAGATTAATACCCAGTATTAAAAATAATAAAATTAAGTTGAAGAGAAATTGCTTAAAAAAAAAAGCAGCTGAAAAAGCTCTACTTATTAAAATAATGGAAAATTGCAGATTATTTTAGCTTCCACTTCAGTCACGAACTGGATTCCTAGCAAGTAAATCTTAACATTACACCCAGAGTACTTTGTGGTGTTTATGCATTCTTTCAGGTGTTAGGATCTTCTTGGCTTAGGATGTGATTTCTCTGTAGTCTGTGTATGTTTGCAGCTGAGAGCTGCTTAAAACATTTGATTTTAAGGCCCCATCTGGTCACACATAGAGTTGAACCTAATCCTTGGGGAACTGTTTGTATTTCATTGTTAGGCAGTAGTTGTTCGTGTTTATTCATGAAGGGTACAGGCCTCAACCTAGTTTAGACAGAAATTAAGATATGCTAGCAAAGCTTTGTAAGCAGATATGGCAATCCCAAGTCATCCTCTTTTAGAGTCTTTTGACTGAATTTATAAAAATTAATGTTGTCTTTAAGGAGTAATTTGCCCTTTACTTATTTGTCTTTCTACCCATCTCAGCTTGGAGAAAACAAGACTTGGAATGGCCAGAACGTTGGGTTTCCCGAGCCAACGAGTAACAGTAAGTACTGCTTTCTAAATGTATATTTGTGCTTACTTCTTTTTGTTTCTGTAGGGTTTGGATTATTCAAGAATATGGAAATGCTTTTTGTAAATATTTTAGGGTTTTTATTGAAATTGGATGAATTAGCTCTTGAGTATCTTCTGTGTGAGTATAGGTATGAGTGAGTGCAGGAACAATGAGATTTTAATTTACTTGCAGAATTGTTGAATTCTTCAAGTTGTAAGGGATTTTAGGAGGTCATCTAAAGTGCCTGCTCAAAGCAGGGTTGGTACAGAGGTTGCTTAAGTCTTTTTTGCAGTTCTCCAGGGATGGAGATTCCATACCTTCTCTGGGCAGCCTGCTGCAATGCTTCATTACCTTCACATTGATTGGTCTTTTTCCTTTTATACCAGGGTGAATGTAGACTCTTTGTTTATGACTATCATCTCTTGTTTTTATACTACATACCTCAGTAATGTGCCTGGGTCAATCTTTTTGGCTACCTCTTAGGTATTGGAAGGCTGCTGTTTAGTCCCCCAAAGACCACTACTGTCCTCTACACATGGTCATCCAAACAGGCTTTCATTATCTAGTAATTCATCTACTGAGACTCTAACATCACAGTTTGGGTACAAGGATGCTGTGGGAGACATCATGTCAAAAGCTTTGCTAAAGCCAAAGTGAATGACATACTCTGCTCTCCTTTAATTCACAAATCCAGTAATTTTGTCATAAAAGGCAATTGGGTTGTTAAGGTTGATTTTATCCTTGGTAAATTCGTGCTGGTTGTTCCCAGTGGCTTTTTTTCTCCTTTATGTGCCCACAAATGGCTCTAGGAGGACTCACTACGCAATTTTCCGAGGGACTGAAGTGAGACTGACCCACCTGCCTTTTCTGATGAGGATGATGATGATGATGCCTTTCTCCAGGCATTGGAGACCTGCCCTGATCTCCATGACTTTTTGAAGATAGCGTGTGGCCTCACCATGTTATAACCTGGTTGAGTCAACACACTAAGATGTATCGTGTTTGGTCCAATGGACCTGTATGGGCTGAAAATTTCTCAAGAGATCCCTCTCTGATGAGGTTCTGCTACTGATAGGTCCTTGAGCCATGTCTATAGGCACAGAGGTCTCAGAGACCTTGTTGGTGAAGACTGACTTCAGTTTCACTGCAACAGGTAATGAATAGGACAGACTTCTGTGACTTTATAACTAGGTTTTTGCTGGTCAGAGGGGTAAAGATAGTATAAGTAGTACTTATTTTGCTTTTCCGTGAGCCCTGGATTCTTCTCTAGAACAGTGTTGAGTTTTGAACTTTTTAAGAAACCCAGACATCATCTCCCTCAACCAAGGATTGTACTAGAGACAGACACACACATGATGTATGTGTCTGAGGGACATGGTCCTACAAGCAGGTTTTAAGGGGGTTCAGTAGTGTTCCCACTATAGAATATATGCAGTATTCCCAGTCGCTAAACCTAGGGAATAATTTGTGCTTCAACTTCCACAAGTTTGCTAGTATTGAAAGTGATCTTGGATTCAGCACATGCCATTGCTTTTTCCTGGAAGGAGTGATTCTACAGACTTCTTATTAATTGCTTCCTTTCAGCCCTATCGTTAGTCTCCATCAGTACTTCCAGATGATTTCTGTTTGCATTGTCAAAATCTTCAGATGTTAACATATTGGAGTTTAGGGCAGCAGTATAAGACCCCTAATGTTCCTCTCCTATCCTTGGAGTGTTTTGTAGCAAAGATATTTATTAATGACATTGCAACCATCTACTACACCAACATGAAAAAACAATCCCTTTCCCATGCTGCTTCTGGCAAGAAAACATTGGCAGTTACACATGTGAACCCAAACCTAGGGGGAGAACACAGAGGCAGACTCACTCAGGGGGAGACAAGATCAACAAAAAATATATTTTAAACCTGTGCTGACCAAAGGAGTTATTTTTCATGGACTGACCTGCTCACAGACCTTTTAGCAGCCTCCACAGGCCATGATACAAAACCAGGTTTTCATTCTGGGATGTTTTTCTAATGCACAAAAGACGTTTCTGGATGAGTTCATTTCTGTCTTTCTGATCTCCAAGTAAACTGGAATCAAGGGAGATGTCGTGTCAGTAGACCTAGAGCATTTATTTCTGACAGTGCCATTCTGAGACTGTTGTGCTTAATCCTTTAATAATACTCTATTTATAATCAATTGATAGATCAATAGATAGTTGTTGAGTTGTCATTCTGAACAGGAGTAACTGCACAGTAAGAGGGGTTGGCAGCCCAACTTAATTGATGAAGTACAGGCTACAGAACATTGTTAGGTGAGTATTGTACCACCACAGAGTCCTCAGAGAGCAGGTCCAGTAGCTGAGCCACTTGTCTGTGTTCTGTCTCTTACAACCTTGGCTAGAATCTTACAGTAGTTGGTTATGTTTAAATAACACCTTGCCTCTGTAGCTGCTGAGTTGATGGGCTAAGTTTCAAAAAAAACAAAACAAAACAAAAAAAAACCATCTTCTAGCAAGGGTCTGAGATAACTAGATTATCTTTCTAACTGAAGACATAGGAAAATTAAATTTAGAAGCAGAGCAGATTTGTCCAATTGATTCTTCCCTGAGTTATTGAAACTAGGATATCTGTTCTATATTTGGCATTATTAATAATCAATATTTTATTTTTCAGCTTCATCTAGCAATGAGAATGAGATAATTTATCCAGAATAATATCAATTAAATACAACTTGCATATACCTTTTGATATAGTTGGGGAAAACATATATTCACAAAGCAGGAAAGGGAGTGTGCTATTTTTTTCCTTAGTTTTTGAGAACCAAGGAAATGCCAAGATCCATATTAGCAGCTCTGTACGTAAGTGGCTTTTGGGCACAGCTCAGGGTGTGTTAAGACCACAGCTCCAATTAGTCCTCCTCCTTTCCCCCCAGTTCCCCTGTTGAGATGCTCAGTAAGGTGCTTAAAGTGCTGCAAGTTCTCCATCTTCAGATGTGATGGTTTCTTTGCTGATTTTAGAGTACAGTGTACTAAAGTACCTGGTGTTCCAACTGTGTTCAGAAACCTAGAAGGCTTAGACTTGGTGTCCTTCTTCACCAGAAGGAGAGTACTCGTGGGCCGCAGGGTAATCTAGACAATGGCAGGTGCCTTTTCCAGATCTGTATATAATATCATTATGATTTGCAGACAGAAAATAAAAAATCAGATGCTGCCAAAATGCAAGAAATCCACGGAGGAGGAGTGAGCTAAAGGAATCCTGACTTGGTTGATTAGAGCACTTGTCAGTGAAGGTGCAGATACGTATTTGTGGTCGTACACGCCAGCTGAAACAGAGATCCTGGCAGCATATGAAGGAGCTTGAGCTGCCGTGGAAGTGACTGGTACTGAAGCACAGCTCCTCCTGGCACCCTGACTGCTGCTGCTGGTACTGAAGCACAGCTCCTCCTGGCACCCTGACTGCTGCTGCTGGAGTGGGTGCTCAAAGGGAGCGTCTCCTCCACACCACGCAGCTGATGCCACGTGGAGTAAGTGAAGTGACTGGCGTGGTGCTCAGCTCCTGCCTGGGTCCAAACCATGGCAGAGCCTAGGGAGAAAGTTCTAGTTCTCCAAGAAGGAATAAACTTGTAGTTTAGACCAAGTATATTGACTATCTGTAAACACTAAAAGTCAAGGAGTGAAGGCAGAGGAAGAGTTGATCGATTAGAACAGGGAGCAAATTAACACTGATGTGTGTATAAAAGTGGATTGACAGTACAAGCTTGATTCTGTAGGTCCTTTTCTGGAGTTGAATGATAAAATAGAAATTTCAGCTTTTCATGTTTTCTGGTCTTCCTGACAGAAAAGTGAACATTGGACATCAGTGGTAGCAGTGCAGACCCTGATGTCTGTGTGTGTGCAGGCAGCACTGTCATCACTCTGAATTGAACCTCGTACCCCGCTGCTGTGGGTGACTTGTCACTGTCTTTACAGCCACAGATTCCAGTTTTTGTGGAGCCTTGCTACATTTAGACTCGTTTGGTGGCACAGTCAGTCATTGTCCTTCCTCACCCCATTCCCCATGCAGACAGTCTCTGGTTAGTTTTCCATGAACCTCCATAAGGATGAATGTCCAGACAGTGGGGGACTCTTCAGTAGAAGGATCCCCCTGTCTCCCTGGCCAAGGGGACCCTAAAGAGAAAGGGTTAGGGGTGAAAACAACACCCTTCCAACAGATCCTTTGGAGACTGCCTCTGCTACTGCTGGATGAAAAGTGGAATTGAAGCACTGAGAGGACATGTTAAGAGGAAGGCTTGTGAAGGATAGTTGGGCCATCTTGTGTCTTGATTGTACAGTTGCTTCAGGTCTAAGCTGTTTTGCAGTTCTCTAGTACATGACAGAAAAGTAGAAAATGGAAGATCAAGAAATTTATTCTTAGGTAAGAGAGGTCTTTGGTGTGGAGTTTTTGGAAACTTCAGAAGATTCTGAGGGACTGCTAGCAATTACCACCACGGATGAGTCAAGCATGTTTTCAAGTGTTAGTGATTAGGTTGCATAGCTAGCCTGCATGCTTCCACAGCACATCTGCCCACAGGTTTAAACAATAGAAGTGGAAATTACTTGAGCATGTTTCCTGAATGTACCTCTAAGTTAATGTCCAGCAGAAGGTGCAATGTTGTTGGTCTAAATGGTGGTATTATAGATCCTGTGATCCTCCTAATAACTACAGCTCTACTTTTGGAGTGCAGTGAAGTTAGAATGGGATATATATCTCAACACAAATATCCAGATTCTTTTTAGCTGAAAGACTAACAAAGATGAAAGTATTCACCTGGAGGTGTACTCCTGCAAGATATAAAGGTGTCAGAGGATAGTAGTTCTTTCTCACATGTTTTTTATTCAAGTGCTTCTTTGAAGACTGATTAAGGTAATTTCTGAAGAGTTCTTTTGTTCTTACACATGCTTCTCTGTTGATGTCATACTCCTTCTCTTGTGATAACAGCTTTACTACTGTAAGTAAACTGTTACATATATGCACCCTATTAGACAGTTCAACAGAATTGAAGTAAGCAGACAACAGTGAGGAATGAGATTTTAAAAATCCTTAGTAATACATTAGAAATAGATAATAAATTATGTGCTTGATAGAAGTTTTTAAAGAGGCCAAATTTTATTGGCTTATAAAACCAAGTCTGTAAGAAGCTTCATGGAACATAAGCCCTGAATATAAAAAGTTATTGGCTTGCAACTATATTAATGTAAAATATTACATTACTTTATTTCCAGGGATAATCAATGATAGCAATATATCTACCTCAGAGCCAATGTATGTGTTGTGTTAATTATTATTCTTTGAAGTCTTTAGCAGAAAGGTGTTGCCTAAATGTAAAAGTACTGTTATTAATAATAACACCGTTAGAGTAAAGTCAGTCTGTTAGGAGCATTTGCTATACTCTGCTCAATATCTTTTTATTTATCATATGTTGCATATTAGTTATTTTAACATTTAGAAAGCTTAGTAATCTGGAAGCATTCCAAGCCATTGTTCCAGACAGCAGTTAGATATTTGGGTGGATCATGTAAAAACAGTGAAATGGCTGAGAAAGCATGTAAAATGTTTGTTTTAAGTAATATTACATCAATGGAACAGACATCTGCAACACTGGACTTGACTTTAAACTGCTTTAAACTTCTTTTGAGACAATGTTGTACTGTGTTTTTGTAAAATGCGTTTTGGGAGGCTAGTGTGTTGTTTCTTAACAAGGATACTGGTTTACCTTTTCAATTTTCATTTCTGTTTCTCAAATATTTGTAGGAAATGAGATTTACAGTGAGCAGGTCTTAGGAGCTGGTGAACACCTGCCACTCAGTGTTACTTTTGCTGTTTGGTTCTGTAAGCTGACCTCAACTATCAGCATCTGTATTATCTAGTTTAATTTTTGTGTTTTATCTCTTGTATAAGAGTGTTTAAAAACATAAGCAGTGATAGACTTTGGAAGTTACAGGCTCAGAAAAAAAGATGTAAGATCAGTTGTAGGACTAGGTAAAACCCCTTGGAAGTTAGAGGTCCAACCAGACTCTGTCCCCCCAGAGGCAGGTGGGGAGAGCAGTTGGGTGGGTAACAGACACATCTCTGTGAAGGGTAGGGGCTGCTGCTCCAGCTTCCTGAAGGCAATAGCAGTTGGGAAGCCAAGTGTGTGAGCAAATGAAGACTGGCTCATCAGCAGTGAGGACGTTCAGTTTTCACCATGTAGCTGAAAATTAGGATGTTGATCACTAGTAATATTTTTTGAGTCTTCTCCTTGTGGTAGACATTTTATTTTAAAATACTGCTTGCATTACTACATTTAGAGGAATCCTTTCTAGATAACTGGAAATCAGTTTTCTTTTCTTCCTTGAATTTATTCTGTATTGAGATAAATTTAATACATACTGCAAATGAATTAAGACTTAAAACCTTTGATTCCTCTTGAGATTACTAAATCAGTTAACAAACAGCTTTATTAACCCTAGAATGAAATGCCATATGGCTCAGGTTCACCCACGTTATTTTCAGATATATGCTAGAAGATTGAAGTATGCTGTTAAGGTGAAATTACAAACTTTGAGCTCATTTTTCAATTTATTAATAAAAAGAAAGGATTGCCTCATATATCAGCAAACTAGGTACTTGTATTTGCAACAAATGCTTCATTTTATATGAAACTAGCAAACTGCAGACTTAATTCTCCACATTTTCCATACACAGGAGTATCAGCAGAACTGACCAAGTATGTATTCCTGTTTCCAAGCAGGTTTAGGGTTGAAATGTTTTCTAAAAATTTATTAAGAGTTTTGAAATGTGGACAAATTATCACTAACTTACAGATCACTGTGAACAGTTTAAAGTAATTCACATAAATAAATTTAGATCTTTTTCATGTTTACCCTAACACCTATTGATATTGCTGATGACACACACATGGTTTCCTTGTTCAGTCTAAGTGTGTCCTATAAAAACCTACTTCTGGTGGCAACAGTGCTCACAGAGGCTAGTTTAAACTGTTTGTGAAATAGCAGCCTAAATTATCCTATCGGGTAGGAGGCAGAAGATTGTAGTGAAGCAAAGGTTATGCTACTGTTTTGAAGTAGCAGCTGTTCCTCATGGTTTGTAGATATCCAAATCTTATTTGTTCATGTTGTATGTTTTGTGCTAGCCACACTTCTGAAGTCCAGCTTTGTACCTCCTTAAGAACAGGAGCACTTCAGATCTGCTTTTTTCCTAAATAAATGATGCAATTTTATTTACAGTTACTGTGGAAAAAAAGATGCTGTTTCTCAATGCTGACTTTGTTTTCTGCTGCAAAACCTGTTCATGAAAATTTTCTACGCATCAAACTGATTCTGGAGTAATGAGAGTGATCTTTGTTCTCATTTTCAGCACCAAAGGGAATTCTCCATCTCTCCCCTGACGTCTATCAAGAGATGGAGGCAAGCCGCAACAAATCAGCACCTGGTAACACTGTAAGCTATTTGTCCTCCAAAGAAATGAGCCAGACTTCTAGCTCTTTCTTCAGCATATCTCCTACAACAAACAGCACAGCAACCATTGCCAGGGAGCTGCTCATGAACGGGACGTCCCCTACTGCCGAAGCCATAGGTCTAAAAGGAATATCTTCTGCCTCCCCCTGTTCTGCTGTGCAGCCTTCAAAACAGCTGGAGTATTTGGCAAGGATTCAAGGCTTTCAGGTATGGGAGGGGGAAAATGAAGCTCTGCAGCCAGAGTCATAGCATTGCCATCAAGGTGTCACTCTTGCCCTCTTGAATGTTGTGGGCATGCATGTAATTTATCTTGTAAAATTAGCTGGTGTCCGAGGCAGTCTCTGGGTCCAGGAGATAGAACCCTGCACCAATATACATGTCCCTCCTTCTCTTTTTTTGTTCCTTCCTTCCTTCCATTCACCTTACTGTAGGCTATCTTTCTTTCCTTTGTTTATTCTCCTTAAATAATTACAGGCTTAAATTAGGCTTCTGACTTGCACTTCTTTGAGTGCCTTCACCTCTTGACATTAGAAACTTTACGTACTGCTCTGGCATCGGTCTCTTTCTTTGGCTCTGACCCAGAAGGTATCGATGCATCACCTTAACCTTGCATCTATCTTCTGGGCTGGGCTATTAAAGCTGTTACTCTGCTTCCCACCCTGCACCTCCTGTAACCTGTAGAACAACGTTTTGATTAGAAGGTGCAGCCTAGGAGCAGACCTGGTATCAGAGCAATGCAGGATGTTTTTGACATCACAGTTTACTAGTCATACTAGAGAAGGGAAGATGAACTGCACTGGGCCAGCTCCTGAGTCCTTCAGCACTGATAACCTGCATCCAGCAGGGGTAAAGTGGCAGCCTCTGTAGTATGTTCAGTCATTTTTGCAGTGTGGAAGATGGGAGAATGAAGCCTCTTCCTGATCACTATTTTATGCAAAATTACACGTCTGTTATGGACTGTAGCTCATTTTACTGTGTTGCACCATCAGAGGACAGGACCAGCTATGTAGAATTATTCCTTTTTGTCATAGGTTTTCAGTTTGTTCTGTTTGTTTTCTTTTTCAGAGATGTGAATTTGTTTCATTTGAAAAGCTGGTTTCATGTACTCTAGCATATGTAATTTGATCATGTAACCAAATTCTGGAAATGGGAGGTTTCTGCTAGAATTATTGCATGCCTGATAATGATATTTTTAACCAAAGCCCATGTAATTTACAAAGTATGCAATTGTTGGAAGTGATTTAAAAGAGGCTGCTAGAATCAGGGGACAGTGTCAGATGTTCTGTTGGTATAAGCAGAATAGTTAAATTACATTTGCATACATCAGATATACCTGTTGTGGATTCGACCTAATGCTGTTTCTGTCTAAAATGTACAGTCAGCTTCCTTTCTGTCTTATTTTTAAAATGTCACTGTTGATTCACTAGTTTGAATGTCTCTTAATGCCAGAAACAGTACAAGCCTAAGCCTCAGCACAGAACTGTTAAACTGCTACTAGGAATTCAGTTTTCCTGAGTTCATTTGTGACCTGCCCACAGTAGAAACAGATTAATTCTGGTGAAAAGAAATTAAAATCCATTAAGCTTTCACTGTTCACTTTCAGATCTTGTCAGATTGCTTGTGTCTACTAGTAACACTTTATTTTCATAGAACTGATGAGAATTTGTTACTGTTCTGATTCCCACTTGCCTACCATATGTGGTTACTGTACAATGATTAGCTATGTTTGTCCTGGGGTTTTTTTATGCTTTGATTCTAGATGCTTATGTAGAAATTGTTTTTAAAGGGTCTTACCTTGAGCCAAAAAAGATAATCCATTTAATATGTAAACTAGACTACTACTTTTACTTGGCCCTGCCACGAAGGAAGGAGTTTGGTAGAGAATCTCAATTGTGACCATCTATCTGCTGTGTATGTAACTGGTGATTTCAGATCATTTTAGCATGCTTTTAACACCTAGTGTCACTGTGAAACTCTGCCCCTCCTGAGTGGCTGAGCTGGAGGTGGAGCAGTGAGCAGAATCTCTGCAGGAAATGCTCAGTGGCCTGGCAGGTGCACACGACAGGTCTCGTCACCATTTCAACAGAAAAAGGTCTCTGTGTAAGAGTTTAGAAACTGATTTCCTTACAAGTTGACTTTCTCAGGCATATTTACTAAGTATAAAACTACTACATTTGCAAACAGCCAGCTTGTTTCATGTTTCCTGAATGACCCAAAATTATTTTAAATTGTTAGCATGTATTTGTATTCTGAACCAGATGATAACCATAGTTTTGTCTTTCACTGAAGAACGTATACATTCTGTTCTGTTACAATGTATTTTTGAATTTTTAAAAAATCAATAAATGCTCATATGATGTTTCATTTGTAAATGTAAAAAATGTTACTTGCTTATTTGAATGGGTTTTTTTAAACTTCTTTAGCTGCAGGAGACACATTTGTAAAATGTGGTTATTTAAATTTTTTTAAACGGTTTGTATGTGACCTCGGCCATGTTCTATCAGAAGCCCTTAATATTAGGATTTACCAGGACCCATGTGCAGAAGAGTACTAAAAATTTAAAATTTTGTGCTTTAGGGCTTATTATTACTTGTAATTGATAAGCAGCAGCTCGGTGTCACTGAAAAATAGGTGTTGAGCTTGGAACCTTTCAAGGCGCAGGCTTTGAATTACCAGCGATAAAGGCAAATACTTCAAGCAAGCCCTTACAAACTCTGAATAAAGCATTTTTAGGGCTGGCTTCATATTTATGAATGTGATCTACCAGTTAATGCTTTTGCAGGCTTTTCCCAGAGGTTGTTTAAAGGAAAATTCATCTTTGGTAAAATTGTTAAATGACTGTGTGGTGTTTTGGTCCTTGTTTTGTAACCAGATTAGGAAAGTTACAGATATTTTTGCTGACTCTTTAAGTGTGGTAAATTATTCAGAGAGTTTGCTTAAATGGAAACATTTAGAGAAGCTGTTTACATGAAGAAGTGGAGCTTCCAGACTCTGCTGAGGCAAAACACAAGTTGCAAGTATTCCAGTAGAAAATTCCCCAGGAGTTTCCGTGCAGCAGAGTGCAAGCTGTACAAAGCCACGGCAGAGAGCCCGCGGCCAGCCCCGGTGCGGG